CAGATTAATGCAATAATAATAATAATATGTTCCCCCAAAGCAAGTACATCACACATTTCTGTTATATAGTCCCCTGAATATTTAAACTAACCAATGGACTGCACTGCTTATATATTTTCTTTACACAGAGATTGTAAGAATGTGTCCACATGCCAAAACTGAGGATCACTGGAAGATACTGTGAATAAAAAACATCTGCTTAGAGCAGTACATGTAAATCTTACCAGCAGTGTTTGTCCTTTTTCGGGCTGAAAGAGAATAAAGTTGGCCTCTATGTTCATGTGGATGTAGCCGCTGTCATCGTAGATGCTTCCATGATGTCCCAATATGCTGATGTTCTCATAAGCCAGGGGTACTCCCTCCAGACTGCACAGGTAAAACAAGACAAGCTGAATTAGTTTCATACACAAAAATACATTATGAACTTGATTGTTAGACTGAACAGGTGTGATGTGTTCAAGATGTCCCCTTTCACTTATACACACAGTTGAATAATCAATATGTCTGATGTGTGTGTATTTGTCTTTAAGTTAATACAACCAAAATCTTGTAAACGGATGTGAGAAGGACTGCAACCCACCAGACTACTCTATTTACAGTCATGCTGAGATCCTGGATTTGTTTGTGGAAAGTAAGCGACTCAATTTCACTTTCCACTATTTTACATTAAATGGGCAGCTTTATTAACTAGTTTTATTGGAGATCAATGTTTACACACAAAAGGTGAAGCATTGATATTTCAAATAAACTAGTTGTAAAGTAAAGTAGTTAAATAGGCTTCATGGACGCAACAAGTGCTTTTACTTTTAATACTTTAAGTATTAGTTCAGTATTAGTAGCTACGTTTATTTGAGTAACATGTCGAAACAATAATCCACAACTGTCAGAACCAAGCTTTGACTCCAAGTTATTATCAATGACACAGGGAGGTAAACACGTTGCCACTAACTGCAAACCTCAATTGTTAACTAGACATGGGAAGGCTACGCAGACAGTAGAGACAGGCTACACCTTTCATGATGATAGCAATGGCTAGCATGTCGACAGAGCTGAAGGAGTTATGTTGCTAAACCGTGTCAGGTGTTGTTACCTCTGAGAGAACTTGAGCAGCTCTCCCTCCAGCTCCTCCTGGATGCCGGTCCTCTTCTTGCTCAGGTACATGGGCGGCAGTGCGATGTGTCTCCGGTGCGTGTTCATCACCAGGCACGAGTACGGTGCTGACAGCAGCTCCACGGCGGCGGAGAACGACGGGATTGCGCACGAGAGCGCGCCCCCGTCTCTGCCCGGTGCCGAGGAATCTGCGGCCGGCTGGACTTCAGCGCTACTGGCGCTTATTTCACTGGATATTTTCACATGTTGTGAGTCGTCTTCTGCATGCTCCAATTTCGCCATGCTGTTTGTGATACCGGAAGAGGAAGGCACGCAATTTCCGCTTTAATGAAGGCTCGAAAGTCAAAATATGCCTTTACATTGCCACCTGGTGGACAGGAGGTGAAATTACAATTGGAAATTATATTTTTTAAATAAGATTGATAGCCTTATTATGACTACTGAATTTGTATTTCAATTACATCACATTTTCATTTCAGTTTTGCATAATGTCATAATAGCATAGAAACAAGTAGCCTACAAATATTAACATATTAACATAGAACTAGAAAATGCAATTCCTGAAGAAATTGCTAGTGGGAATGCTTTATGCTGAAAAGCTGACGCTAAACTGCTATGCTGAAATGTAATGTGTAAGAAGAAAGTGAAGAATTTAGATTATACATGAACACTGGGGGCTTGAATGTGTGATGAGAGAAGAAAAGAAAGTAAAAAGGCTTGGAAAAGCAGCAGAATATTTGAACTGCAACCTTTTGAACTAACTTGATAGTGAATGATCTGTCGCCATGCCAACGGCATTTGATGACATCCCATAATACGCTTAGATGCGTTGATGGCTGCATCGTTACCAAACCTGTGAAGTTTTGGGCCGTTTGGAGCATTTTCACTGAAGTTAAAGCATTGTGTTGCCATGGCAACGGCATTTGAAGAAATCTCAAAACTGGCCTGTAGATGTCTTCATGGCTGGACTGTTAGCACACATGTGAAGTTTGAGCACTTTTTAAATATTTTCATAGGAGTTATAGCGACATCGTCTTTTATGGCGAGGGATGCATTTCCATGGAAACGGCATATGATGAAACCCCATAATTGACGTAGAGCTGTTGAGGGCTGGACCGTTAACCATTATCTGAAGTGTGGTGCTGTTTTGACCCTTTTCATAGGCGTTACGACAACATCGTGTTTTATGGCGAGGGATGCGTTTCCTTAGAAACGGCAAATGGTGAGATGTCAGATTTGACGTAGAGCTGTTGAGGCATGGAGAGGTGATATACAGGTGAAGATTGCGGTGAATATTTGTGTAACACATCACATTTGTGATGTGTTACACAAATAATGTCAGAAAGATGTGTAACATTTTAAAGTTGGAATGAGGTTTCTGAGTGAAAATATGAAGGAGCAATTAGCAGTTGAAGAAGGAGCAGTTAGCAGTTGAAGTTGCATGAAGATTGTTGAAATCTGAAGAGTTCTCCATTGACTTCCATGTTAAAAATGGGATGTATCTCTGGAATTATGAAAGTTATGAATGATAAAAGTAATAGCCATTGATTCCCGTTTGAACGGAGTTTCTGCGATGTTCAATGTGGGAGAAGAAGCAGCGCAAAATAACCCGGCGGAATAATAAAGAATTTCGTGCGTAGCATAACAGATAGTTGGAATGCTGTATCAGCATTCCCACTAAATTACAGGAAAATTAGATGAGATAAGATTAAACATGATAAATAACAAAGCACAAATACACCAACCAATTGGTATACAAAACAATGCATCCACTTAAATATCTTGTAGTAAACCATAGGACTCCACCTTTTATCACATTTCAAATGTTGTAACCCCAGAGATACGTTATCTGCTCCATCTCATAGATATTGTAGGAGCCATTTTATGGGTGTTGTTGGTGTCTCAGTTTACTTTAATTTATATGTATAGTGCAATATTATTTAGAACACTTGGTGGCGGGGTTTAGCTGCACCAGGTGTATAAAGGGGTCACAGGTGACAGGAAATGACGAGGACACAGGAGGAAGAGCATACCGATTCTACCAACCCGGCAGATGCTCATACCTTTGACACAGTATAACTAAACCTTGGTATGTAAAGCAATAAAACATCATTCTAAACTGCAGCAAAAGACCGGAAATGCATCTGTTTGTGTCTGCGTCAGGATCACTCTAAACCCTCCTGTGAAGTAATGGCAATAGGATATAGGACATTAGAACATTAAAATTGCCATTACAGATATCCTGGATTATTTGATGCCACAAGTTAAGTAAGAAGTAAAATGATTAAACTTATTTTTACATCTTTAATATGCATGTCAACTAATATACAATGTGACATGTTGCTTTCACATGTTGTAAAATGGAAATATGTTAATAATATGAATGCCCTGGAATTGTATTTACCGACCATAAGTTAGCAAAAGGCACAAACACTGTTCCTACACAGCGGACAGTGTGCAACTTTTTCAAGGCCAGTGAAAGCCCCAGGTTGACAGTATGGAAATTGGTTTGTGATTCAGACAGAAAAGCTTGGACCAGCATAGTGTTAATGTTCACACTGCAAGGAGAATGGGAGGTACAGCAGTTAAGTCTGTCTTTTATTCCTGTATTAAAAAAAAGCATGGTAACCTTTTGATTACTGACAGGCATCTTTCATGTTGTGTAAAACCCCTGAGTATGATGCCTTTTCCCAGCATCATGCCCTTCATTATGTAAAACTGCAGGGCGTGCACCAGGGTTGCTGGTTCCTGGCAGGGTTGCTGTTAAGCTGTTCATCTGATAAGAGACGGGTTAGGGTTATTGATTCTGTATCCTGTTCTCACCTGCCATGGCATATTCAGATCATTAGGGTGACCTAAGGTGTCAATTAGGTCATGCACACACGCACACACACACACACACACACACACACACACACACACACACACACACACACACACACACACACACACACACACACACACACACACACACACACACACACACACACACACACACAGTGTGTTCTAGTGTTACTGTTTTCTGACAGAGCAGCACCCCAGGATGTCACATGATTCAGCATATCACACACGCACGCAATTTTTATCGTGCGCGCACACACACACACACACACAGTGTGTTCTAGTGTTACTGTTTTCTGACAGAGCAGCACCCCAGGATATCACATGATTCAGCATATCACACACGCACGCAAGGTTTATCACACACACACACACACACACACACACACACACACACACACACACACACACACACACTTTCTTGCACTCCTGCTTATTGTCTCAGTGATAAATTGTGACGTGGTTTCTTAGTCAGCAAGAGCTCCCAGTAGCTACAGTATGTGAGCTATATTTAAAACACACACATGCACAAACACACACAAGACAAACACCATAATGAGGTATTGAGCAGCCATGATGTTGCCAGAGTAATTGCGTATCTTCATTAAAGGTCACAGCTGTGTGTCTGTCTGTTTGACTGTATATGATACTGTTAAGTATTGCTTGAGAGGTGCTATTAAAGAGATTTACCTCATCGCTTAGCTTTACGATGACTATGTAAACCTTGAGCAGAGCCAAATCCACCTCTGAGCTCCCATAGGAATGAAGAGACTCCCTAAATCTTGCTCCTCATTGATCACAAGTGACAGCCTGATGTGCAGGTTGTCAGTAATATTGTACACTTGGTTTTAAAGATTTATTACATTTATTTAATGGAAATTAAACATTTAGTGCATTGATTAGAATGCTGTCAGGGGGCAACTTGTTATGTGATAACTCAAAACACCTGCATATTGACAGAAATGTGCAAAAATCCTTAGGCTTGTTCAATCTAATAAATATTTTGGGATCACAAGACTAAACTCATTTTGCTGCATCTTGTGTGTTTGTGTGTTTTTTGTGTCTGTGTGTAAATTAATCTGAATCTCAATTAAACTGACATAATCCATGCAAGATAAACCATCACTCAGATTAGTCATACTTTAATTCACTTTTTATAAGAAGCATTTATAAAAATATGTTTGATTTGTGGTTACAGCTAGAGTCCTGATATATATATATATATATATAAGCATGGATATACAATACAGTACACTGTGCATCACCGTATTTCATATCAAAGCATTCCTAATCAGACGATACATACGGTTTACTGTAAGCTATCTCAAGGTCTGCATTCCATAAACCCATAACAAGACACAGAGAGAATAAAGACATTGAGACTGAAATAGCAGTGGCTATTCAACTGAATCACTTGCATGCTTGGTTTGTGCTCATTACTTTGAGGGCATCTCATTGGATAAAATCTATCCTTCAAACTCGTTACTTTAAAGGTCAGATACCGAACGCCGAGGTTCGTCACCTGAATTATGACCCTAACAGCAGCTCTCCATCCCGGCTTTGGTTTGAGTTGATCAAAGGGGGTTTGAACCTGTGTTTGCATAATCATTCAGAGGCTCAAACACCTTCCTCCTGTTGTCAGAATGTTCTTCTATTAAACAGGTGGCAGAAAAAAGGCGTCCAAGTTGAGAGACCTGGACTCACTCCCTGCGGTCAAGATGTAGTTACTGCTTATGCCGCAGGATGTGTGGAAAAAACGACATGCAGTATTTTTCATCTGAGAGCACAGCGAGCGATTCATGAACCGTCTCTGTGTCGTCTTTGGTGATAGGTCGTCATGGTGATGCTTGGTTGTGTCCGTTGTAGGAGATCTGAGGGATGCCGTTACTGGAGTTGTCCAGGATCTCCTGTTAGGGAGACACACAGACACACTTGGTCACTACAAAGTAACTTTTATTTTTATTTTGGTGGTCACTGTGGACAAAAAGGGGTATTGTTTCCAAGCACTACAGTGTCTTATGAAAACTTCTACCGCTTCCTCAGCATGGTCTGACAGATCCAGCAGGTTCAGGCGGAGCAGTGAGACAAAGATCTGCTTAGTATTGGCCATGAAACATACACTGTTAGCATACGGTTGACAAGCTGACCAATTAGAAGCTCACCTTCTCGGTCATCTCGTGCGAGTGGTGCAGCGAGTGCTCCCTCTCCAGGAACATCCTCTGCTGCTCAGAGCTGGCCAGGCGACAGGTGAGCCACGTGGATAAGGTACAGGAAGAGATCCCTGGACAAGACAGGAAAAGGGAAACAATGGAAGATATCTTTATTCTATATGAAAGAGTTTTTTTTCCTCATGTTTCATGTTTTATCCATTGACATTTCTTACCAGCTATTGGATGCATTGCTGGGAAATTAGGTACAGAGCTGTATGTCACCCTCACGTGATCCCTTCATTTTATACAGTGGAAATAACAGGTATTTTATTATGTATGCTGTTGTAATTTGTGCAAATAAGCAAATGTTTACAAAAGCAAATGTAATAAACTTGCACACCAAATTAAGATGGTGAACATGGTAAACATTATGCCAGTTTGAAATCAGCATTTTAGCATTGTCACTGCTGTTTCATTACTGTAAGCCCACCCTTAACTGTTTTATGTGGAGAAAGAGATGACAACGCCACTTCCTGTGACAGTGGTGGAGCTATGATGTCTGATAGTAACAGGTTGGAGTTATTTAACAGTGCTAATAGGTGGCATATTAAAAGCTGCTTTACCCTTCAGTAAAACCTTTGAATATACATATAAACCCCTCAAACAAATATACTTACTAACAACATCCCTTCATTATGATAGCATACTTGTCACATGAAGAAGACATTAACAATTGTGTTATGTTATATTATACCCAGACAGGCCAGCGTCATGGCAGCCAGATGGATGGAGTGCATGGAGTCTGGTCGTTTGTTCAGAGCCCGGACAAACTGGAAGTTGAGGATCCCACCAATCAGACCACAGATACAGCATGCCGAAAATAGGATCATCTGGGGAACAGGGAGAATGGTTTATGTCAATGCAAATGGCAGAATTGATATCTTCTCCACAAAACTGTAAACAAACTGACAAAAAGGGATGAGATGGGAGATATACAAGCTACCATTGAGATTCATCTCCATCATTTTCTGTTTTGGACGACGGCTGCTCTGATGAGTAATGCGTATCAGTCAAAATAAATCAAATTTCCTATTAGAAAATTGGATGGCTCTCAAAGCATACTGTCTCTTCCAGAAATATTGCACAGCTTGTAAATATGCTTGCATCACTCACTTGTTTTTGTGTTTGTGTTTGTGTGTCTGATTTGTGTGTGTTAGACAGTACGTGAGATTTTCCTTTCAGTGTCTAATAAATCACATTTTATGGATTACCTTAGAAAAAAGCAGTTGGAAAATTCAAACTCAGTAAGAGAATCAAATTTCCCTCCCACCAGGATGTGATGGGAGAATGACTGCAGTCGCTTTGCAATCAGAATAATAAAATACAATCGATTCACTTCTACTTCCTGTTTATTGTGCAGGCATGCTTGTGTTTGTGTGTGTGTTGTGTCAGGAGTTCAGGTTCTCTTATTGCTCCCAGTAGAGATGCCTTTAGTGCCTTTAACCACATGGAAAAAGGCTTCTCCAATTTCAGTCATTACTCTGTAAAGTGTGGAAAGCGGCTGGCAGGACTCCGGAGCAAAACCAACATAATGCAATCATCACCCCGCAGGCAAACAAGGAAGGAGGAGATGGAGAGAGTCAGAGCATCGAAACGACCGGGGAGGATGAGATTGGACAGAGAAGGTGGAGAGATGAGAGCGATGAAAAAGGGAAAGTCACGAGGAGGCGACAGAGACAATAGGCAGGGATGGATAGGGTGAGACAGAGGGAGAGAAAGGTTGAGGGATGTCTCTGTTACAGCAGATTGTGCTGACATTGATCCATCATTAGTGCCCTCCCTGTAGGAGAGGCACAGAGAGGCTGCGATGGGATCACTATGTATAAAAGATGGAGGGAACGACAGAAAGAGAAGAGGAGAGGTGACTGCCTGTCTCCTCTGATTTCCGCAAATGTCTTTTTCAGAGCACACTGTAGGCCAACGCACCTGCAGGACAACGAGCACCTTTGGGTGTTTCACATGATCAGACAGACATCACTTGTAAACTTGTAAGGGAATGTATGCAGGCCTTGTTTGTACAGTCATACTTATTAACATTTTGACTCCAATTTCTAACTCATGTTTGCTCGTTTGTGAGTTTGTTGATGAGAAGGTTAATAGCTCCCTCATCTGTTTGTTATATATGAAGCTAGCAGGTGGTTAGCTTAGCTTAGCATAAAGCCTGGAAGCAGCACTGTGCAGCACTGTGGAGTTTACTCATCACAACTATATATTTCAGGGTTATTTGCCAGACTTTTCATTGGACAGTATCCAGTTGCCAGGCAACCAGCTGTCCAATACATATTTGACCACACTCTTTTTTTGTGCAGAATAAACAAACAAGATTGAGTATTAATCTGTGAATTTTAGAGGTGCCGATAGTGGGACAGGGACATATTTCCCCTTTCTTCCAGTGTTAAAGCTAAGCTAAGCTATGCAATGCTAAGCTTAGATATGCAATGGATGCAGGCTGTGGTCTTAATTGTATAAGAGTAGTAATGATCTTTGCATGCAATACTTTGCAAAAATGCAAAAGGACAGATTCCCAAAAATGTGGAATCGTTTTCTTTAAATCACTTTTGCTCCCAATGTGCCACTGGAGGGCATTTCCTGTTTGCCGCAGCAGGAGAGTCCAAAAACATATCACAAAAGGACAACAAAAGATGCCACTGGGAAAGTAGCCAACTAAATATATACTTACAATAAGACCTGTCCTCTTTCGAGCACACAGCATCCCGCACATCCCACAGACCAGAAACTGGATAGAGAGAGAACAACAAACGAGTTAATGAGCAGTTTCTTCTTAAATTGTAGCCTTAAGAAAGTTACTGCTTACAAACTCTTTGAAATGTAAACTATTTGCATCACCCCCTCCTCCACATGTGTTGACAGCAGGAAAGGATGATTGTATTCTTTACACCCACGATGCACGATGAGAAATAAGCTGCATTGGAAGTAGCTGGAGGCATACGTTTGTGTGTACTGGGTGTACTGTATACCTGTACTTCTGTATTAACTCATTGAAAAGTTGGAAGCAGCTCAAAATGACTGTATCAGTTCAAGTTGAGGTTTTAAGGTTCACGTACTAGATTTATTTCAGAGCTTTCAGACCTTATTGGTTTGCCTTAAACAGAAGAAAATAGACTGAGTGGATCTTAATTTAAGTTGTTTTGTTTGAAGTTGCTTTCAGGTAATTGTATTATATCTGTTGTAAAGTAAAGATGTAAATGTGAATTAGAGTTTCTCAGTTTCACTCTGAAAATATTCTTATTATTTCAGTACAAAAATATAAAAACCCTTAAATGTATATATGTCACATCTGAATACATGGTGTCTAGGCTTATTTCCTTTAAAGGCAAACTTGTATTTGTTTAAAAAGAAATTGGTGCTTTTGATTTAGAAATGATAAACTCCAAATCATTATGGATTAAGTCAGAAATGTAACAGATGACATTTGTTTTTTAAAGGGCTGCCTAATAACTTTTAACAATATATGACAAAATGTAGCAAAACATTCATAACTCAAAAAGTCCTGATAGATATATTTAGATATGAAGAGGATCATTTTCCAGATTCAGCAGCACACTAAATCTGTGCAAAAGTTGGACATTCAATCTACTTTGGGGGGAACAGTCAGTCACTACTAATAACTTCCAGTTCCTGAGAGGAGATATAAAACCTCTTGGATAGTCAGAAGAGACAAGGGCTGACTGAGCAGACAGCTGTGAGGTTAAACACACAGATGTCACACTGAATTACAGCTTTTTACACACACACTATGCACCCACACAAAAACATAGAAAGTAATATAACTAAGTTCTTTCTTTGCAGATATTTACACATCAAGAGATACTGAAACCAGATTCAGATACTTTAATATATGACTTATAGTTGAGCTCCACACACTCACAGCAGTAATATTGCGCTCATTGTCGATTCAAGACTATATATATCTTCTAAAAATGTCAGAAATTGAACTTTTCATTGCTCTGCAGAAAATCAAGAAAATGAGGAAGAGAGTGCACTGTAAAAGGAGGAGACATATGCAGAGGGGAGAGTCGATATTTGTGCGTAAAAGCTTAAGAACCAAGCAGCAATTCAAGCATGAATGAATGAAACTGACCCCTAACTGTGGCACAGAGGAACCTATACCAAATGTCCGTTTGTATCTCTCTAACATCGCATTAAACTAACTAACACATTAAGTCACAGAAAGGACGAATGTATAGTATGTGACCAACAAGTCTTATCCACATCATAGGTCTTAAAACTGGCAACTTCAGCTTCCAGTTCGTAATTAATATTAGATAAACCACCACCAGTATGACGACATATCAATTGAATACCTTTTAAAGCTTTATACTGTGACTTCAAAATCAACTTCAGTGTGTGATGTAAAAGTTAAAAGTGTCCTGGACCACAGAAACAACACTTAATTGGTAGACTTTTAAGAAAAACGTTGATGTGTAGCCTGATTTTTTGGTGTACATGTTTTTATTAAGAGTTATTAGGAAGAATAAAACTAATAAAAAAAGTAAAAACTATTTATCATGGTTTCCATTTAAAAGGCCAAATTAGTTTACCTCACTTTAATATACCGATTTGTACCGCCCATTCTCTGTGAGAAACGTTTTAGTATGTACATTCAATGTTGAATAAGAACAGAGACAGATAATTCCCCTGAGTTTTAGCCGTGCAACTTCCTTTAACAACATCCCTGAGATATTTATCCTAACCTGACGTGGATATGCTGTCCGAAAGTAAACGCAGGAAAGAAGAGAAGTTGTTTCAGGACTTACGCAGAGTCCGCTCCACACCGGGGACGCGTCGCCCTGCTGGGTCTTGTGCTCTCCGCGGACCCAGCTGATGCCCACGGCTCCCAGGACGATGCTCGCTACACCCAGGCCGACCTCCACCACGGACAGCAGGAGCAGGCTCCACAGGATCTTGCGGCTGGAACACATCCCGTCCCGGGCATCTCCTCAGCTCCAGCCGGAGGGCGAGAGAGGAGTCCGCGTCTCTACTGCTCCATACCGGGCTGTAAAGGAGGGGTTATCCGAAAAAAGTAGGCATAGAGTGAAAAGGTCAAAGTAAACTAAACTGGAGGAGGTGAGCTGGCTCTGTGGTTGGAAATTGTTTTAAAGAGAGAGTATCTCCGCTTGCTCAAGTGCGTGTGTGCTGCCTGGAGCTGTCCAAGGTAGCATCACCGCGAGCACACACTTGATGTGGAGATTCGCGCGCACACTCAGACACGCGCGCAATACAGGGACAAAAGAGTCACAGCCTCCGCCCTCATGTGGAAAACTCAAACAGCATGATAGTTATAAAGCTCAGAGTGCTCAGATTCTATATTGTATAAGGCAGGGGTCACCAACCTTTTTTAGGATGAGGGCTACTTTCAAAAAATAAAACAAGTCGGGGGCTACTTTTACTCCTCTTTTTTTTGTTTTTTGCAATGTATATATTTAGCACATTTTAACATTATTATATGCTTACCTTTAACCTTTGTGCTGTTTGGGTCTGTGGGACCCGTTTTCAAGAGCATGTATGCAATTTAATTATTTTAACCTGCTTTATTTGGGGGTGGACCTCACATCCTCTAGGGGGGACCTCCTCTGGGGTCCTCACCTCCTAGGCGGGTCCGGGAGCATGCACCCCCGGGAAGATTTTTTTTTTTTAAATGTTGAAGTGAAATGCATCAATCTGGTGCACTTTGAGCACAAAATGAATCAGCTCTCAACACTCAGATGAAAGGGAGCTGTATACTTTTCAATAATCCAAACATCTTTAGAATATCATCACAACCAATAGCAAATCATTTAAACTTGTTTATTCTTATCTTGTGTTACCTACACTGTAAAACCTGACAAGTTAATAGAACTCAAACGTTTTGTTGAAACCGATTACATCGAAATGTTTGAGTACCTTAACTTAAATGTTTGAAGTTAAAGTATAATCTTATCAATTGAGTTCTATTTACTAGTAATTTTTAAGTGACACAAACATATTGTTTTAAGTTAAAGAAACATGGATATATTAAGTTATTTAAACTAATAATTTTTGTTAACACTGTACATATAAAGATCAAGTATCTTTAACTTAAACATTTTCATATCTCTTCAACTAGCTATTTTGTGAGCACAGTAGATATGAAAATCAGGTAGATTTAACTTAAATATTTGTATTATCTCTAAACCCCAATATGAATTAAAAATGTCAATTGAGTAGTACTCAAAACGGAATGTCGAATACTTAAAACGTTTGTTGAAACCGATTACATCGACATTTTTAGTTAACTGTAACTCAAAATCCCTAAGTTAACATTTTGACTAAACATTAAAAAGCACTTTAACACTGACAATTTAAATGCAAATTACTGTTTTATTAATTGACATACACTTTACCAAACAATATAGATAAATTATAGCAAATAACTAACTTTTCAATACAAAATAAATTAAACAGTGCTAAGGCCTTGACAAATATCTATGATATATTTTCTTAAAAGTATAAAATAATGGGAAACAGTCCTTCAACTTGAAGCTGAACAGTAACAGTTTTCAATGAACATATTTAAAGTGCAGGATGTAAACAGAGAACTGTGCAGCGACGTGCAGTCAGGGGAGGCATGCCTCCACTGTCATACTCCAATGTAACGAAAAAACAACTAAAGAAAAACGAAATAGTAATAATAATAAAATGTCTCCACTGATCTGTGTTGTAAGTGTGATTTATGTATGATTCCAATCGCTTTTTATAGTCAAAATCAGCAAATTTGCCGAGCTCCGCTACAACTACGGGTAGCGATGAGAAGTGAGGCAGAGACGAGCTCTGCCTCTCGTAAGCCCACAGTAACTTGCTGGAGCGCGGGCACTAATGTAGCGCGGGCACTTATTTTGTGAGCGCGCTCAAGCCAGTTACTGTGGGGTGAGGTGAGGCACAGATGAGCTCTGCCTCACCTCAGAATGCGTCACCCCACAGAAACTGGCTGGAAAGCGGGCACTAAGCGCATGCCTGTTACCATCTCACTGTATGTCACCAATGTAATGTTTGTAGATCCCTTTATTACATTTATCCTCGCCATCCATAGTCTCTAAATAACTTATTTCACGTATATGATATTTAGGCTCGCTGGTCTCATCATACAACGGCAATGAAAAAAGCACCAGGGGAGGCAGCCATAACCTCTGCCGCACTGAAGGGGGCGCAAGTGAGCCCACAGGTTCTTGTTGCTACTGTTATTCTACGCAGAGACGGTAGCAAACAACAAACTAGACTTTTGAAACTAGAGGAAGATAAGGAGGACTTTTACAAAAATGTAATGGAGATTGTTGTCCAGAAGGATAGCATGGACTTCATCTTCAAGTCAAGGTAAGACCAGAATTGTAATGCAAATGGAATCTTAATAAGAAAGAACAATCCAATATTTAGATGTTGGGTATCCTTTTGTTGAACGGTCTGTTTCAAATGAATTGAAGCATCAGACTAAAAAAGCTTTTGAAAATAACCGAATATTTCGATTAAGGTCAAAATATAATATTTGTAAATCTGACTCTGAAAGAGTCAGTGCCTCACCATCCATGAACCTCACCGCACGTCACTGGAACTGTGTGTGTGTGTGTGTGTGTGTGTGTGTGTGTGTGTGTGTAATATGTATTGTAAGGTATCAAAATGTATGTGAAAATGTTTTCCATCCTTTAACATTTACAAACAAACAAACTTGAACAGTAACACACTACAATGCATAGAACACATTTAAAGCAGCAGTATGTAAACAGAGAACATTGTGTGTGTGTGTGTGTGTGTGTGTGTGTGTGTGTGTGTGTGTGTGTGTGTGTGTGTGTGTGTGTGTGTGTGTGTGTGTGTGTGTAAAATATGTATTGTAAGGTATCAAAATGTTGTCCATCCTTTTTTAACATTTACAAACAAACAAACAAACTTGAACAGTAACACATATTACAATGCATATTTCAGATTTAAAGAGTGTGTGTGTGTGTGGCAGAGGTGTGGACTCGAGTCACATGACTTGGACTCGAGTCACAAATTTGATGACTTGAGACTCGACTTGACAACATCACAAAACACTTGCGACTCGACTTGGACTTGAACACCAATGACTCGGGACTTGACTTGGACTTGAGCCTTCTGACTTGAGGTGACTTGATACTTTAATTCAGAGGTCTCCAACACGCCGATCGCGAGCTGCCGTTGGAAGAGCAGAATCCCGTCGGGGAAAGCAGAATCTTCAGCCACTCCTACTTTTGTTGAGAATCCTTGCAGGCAGGGGCGGGTCTTTATTTAGCTGGGCCACCATGCGGCCAATCATATGCGAGGACACACTAGGATCATACCATTATGTGAAAGAAGGGTGGGGGCACAGCATGTGTAGTGGTACAGGCCAGCTGCACAGAGCGACGGATTTAAATGCAAGCGCGTCGGGAACATGAGCGAAAACTAAAAAAAGAAGCAGCATCTGGCTGCTTTTCAATGATATTGGAGAAAGCAAAGCTGAGTGCAGGATTTGTAAAATGGAAATAACCTTCAGAGCAGGTTTTTTTTTTGGTAACCACTCAGGATTTATTGACAGAAGTGGGAAAAGTTCAGACAATTAAAAAAGTTACAATCAGGGTTCCCGCGGGGTCTTAACAAGTCTTAAATTTGATAATCTGAATTTAAGGCCTAAATATGATTCAGAAGGTCTTAAAAATTATCGGATTTGAAAGGTACTTCTGTGTTGCGATAGCGTCTAAATGTGTTTTGGGGGAAATGTCCGGGCTGCAAAGTAACCAGTACGGTAATAGCCTTTCAGTTCCCCCCAACAATTTGTATTGAATTAAATCAACATGGAACCAGTAATCACTAACTTTGTTTCCCCCGGCCCCTTATTGGAGAACACCCAGCTAGTAACCTAGCAACCAAGCTTCATGTAGCCTATCTTCGAATCTACTTACAAATAAATATGGCGAAGTGTAAGTTCAACCGTATTTGGTTGGAAAACATCTAATTTAGTGCTTGGTTGAAACCAGTGGAGGGAACGTGTTTGAAGCCCGCTGCATCTTTTGCAAAAGAAATTAGCGTTTGTTTGGCTAATGTAGGGTTAGCTAGTGCAGCAGCAGCTAATGCAGCGTTAGCTAGTGCAGCAGCTCCCGCAACAACACCGGGGGACCTCCGGGTGAAGTTTGGGTCTACGTCAACCCTAAAAGCGGAGGTGCTGTAGACGCTAAATACCGCAGCTAAACACCAATCATACAACAGCAACGATGAAAGATTGTAGCCAAGGCAGCAGAGCTCTGAATATAGCTCTTGTCACTCTCAGAGACACACATACACACACACACTAGGGTTGCTCGATTATGGCAATAATCAAGATTATGTTGGTCAATAATTAATATCACGATTATTAAATATGATTATTCATTGACTTTGAAAACATCAATTTATTGAACTTTAAAACAAATAATAATTTGAACAGTATCTTTTTAACTGTTGATTACCCTGAACGTATAATTCAACTGAAAAACCAATACAAAAATTAATTAAATAAACAGTGGCGAGCCGTCAGGGCCCTCTAGGCCCTCTGTGAGGGCCTAAGATATTCTAAAAAATAATATTTAAAAACATTTTTTTTAAATATTATTTAAAAAAAAAAAAAAATTTTTAAATATTATTTGTGTTATATTTTTACCGAAAAAACTTGATTTAATTGTATTTAAAATAAAATTTCCAAAGAAATAAATCCTTCGAATCTTCCTGTTCAGTTTCTGTTTGAATGTGAAGGGTTACATGAAAAAAGCTCGTCTGGCCCTCTATGCGATTCACAGAGGGCCCGCTATAGTAAAACAACGAGAGAGTAATGTCAAGTGACAGTACAATTGACCAATCATATCTTCCCTCTAAATGGGAGGGCTTTATTATCGCGGACTTTATGACAAGTTCCGCCCGCTGCGCTGCCAAGTTTATGCATGTGATATATCAACGGGTCAAGCTAGGCGGAATTAGCATACGTTCATTCACGATGGCTCACGTTAGTGATAGTGATGACATCGTTGCGAAACTACTAACCGAGTCTTTTTCAAGAATGAGTTACACGGATAAATTGGAGTTAATTACCACAGGGCGACCAACACCACAGCTTAATTTGGTTCAAAAAACCAAACGGTTCGAGAGGCATTTTAATATCGGCAATTACGCCAGATACAACTGGATGACCGGATCAACCAGGGAACAAAAGCTGTACTGCTGGGATTGCTTGCTTTTTGGTGCGGACAGTGGGTCATGGGCCAGAGATGGATATTCTGATTTAGGAAGTTTATCCAAATCAGCACATCGCCATCAGAATGCTTCAGGTCACCTCAGAGCTACTATTCGGCTTAAAACATTTGGGGACACCAGGATAGAGCTCCAGCTGGATGAGCAACAACGCCGGGGTGTCATCCTTCATAATGAAAAGGTGAAGAGGAACCGAGGAATTTTGAAACGCCTGATAAATTGTGTGGTGTACTTGGGCAAGCAGGAGTTGCCGTTCCGAGGTCACGATGAGAGTGTAACTTCATCAAACAAGGGGAATTACATAGAGTTGCTGGATTTAGTGGCAGAATATGACAGCGACCTGCACACACACCTCGCCACATCAACAGTATTTACCGGCACATCTTCAAGGATTCAGAATGACCTGATCAGCGCTGTCGCTAGTGTAATGACGGATAGCATGAAAGAGGAGCTGAGGAAGGCACCTTTTGTTGCGGTCATGTTGGATGAAACGACAGACATTAGCAACGTGGCGCAGATGTCATATGTGCTTTGATATGTCACTGACGATGGGATAAAAGAGCGTTTCTTCAAGTACGAAGATGTGACAGAGGACAAACGAGCAGAGGCCATAGCTACACGGCTGCTGGAGTTCCTGAGGGAGAGTGGCTGTATTGACAAAGTGGTCGCGCAGTGCTACGATGGAGCAGCTGTTATGGCCTCTGGATTGAATGGGGTGCAAGCGAAAGTTAAGGAAACAATTCCACAGGCCCTTTTCATTCACTGCTATGCTCACATCTTAAATCTCGTCTTGTCAAAGGGAGCTTCCAAGATAAGAGAGTGTAAGGTCTTCTTCTCCCACCTCTCTGGCTTGGCCACCTTTTTCAGCCGCTCAGCAAAGCGCACCAAGCTACTGGATTTTATTTGCCAGCATAGGCTTCCACGGGCAGCTCCTACTCGCTGGTGCTTTCATTCTCGCTTGGTGTGCACAGTGGCAGAGAAGACCAGGGAATTGAGAGAGGTAAGATAATAATAACAATGAACGTAATGGAAATATTAACAATAATAAAGAAATTATTTAGTGTTGGAAACTACCCACTCATAAAAACATGAAGGTAAAGAACTATGCTAGTATTACATTAAATGGAAAGCTAATCTTAGTGTTTACTGGAGGTCTATAAGTTGTTTTTTCTAAACTAAGCATTACTCTCGTAGGTGTTCGAGCACATCGTAGACCATCACACAGAGTTTGATGACGAAACTGTTCATTGCTCTGATGGATACATCACCCTCCTTACCAGCTTCGATTTCAGCTTTTGGTTGAAAACCTTCCACGCTATCTTCTCCTACTCGGATGTTGTTTTTGAAATACTTCAGAACAAAGGTTTTGATATGCAGTTCTGCCTGGCCAGAGTGGATCAGCTACAGCGACAAATTGAACAGGAGAAGGGGAACTTTGACAGCGTCTACGATGAAACCCAGGCTTTGGTTGGTCCTCCGCGCGGCCGTGGAGCTCAAGGAGACGTTCGTGCACGGTACAGGGAGCTCCACTGCAGCGTAATTGACAGCCTGCTAACCCAGATTTCCAACCGCTTCAGTGACCACAAAAAGCTGGAATTCCTGGCCCTTCTGGACCCGCAACAGTTTCGGGCATTACTGTAACTATTTCCCAACTGCTGCCTTGAACAGTTTGATGGAGAGCTATGGCGGATATTTCGACCAGCCTCGACTGCACACGGAACTCGCCGTGATGTACGGCATGTCTGACATTTTGGGGAAAAGCCCAGCCGACATTCATCAGTTTCTCCTCAAAAAAGGACTGAGTGAAAGCATGAAACAGGTGTACACCCTCTCATGCATCATCCTGACAATACCTGTGTCCACTGCCTCTGTGGAGAGGTCCTTCTCTGCGCTGAAGCGCATAAAAAGCTACTCGAGGTCCACGACTGGGCAAGTCCGACTGTCAGACTTGGCCTTAATTTCGATCGAGAAGGAATTGCTGATTGCTTTAAAAGCAAAGGATCAGCTGCATGACGACGCCATCAAGTTCTTCATCCAAAAAGACAGGAGGATGGACTTTGTGTTTAGGTGATTTGATCATCAAAGGTAAGTCAAAGTGATTTTCAATGTGGGCCGCCGTGCCGACTTAATTCATTTGTAATTGTTACTTGGCTGTGGGTGTCCTGTCATGATAGGTGTTTATATAAATGGTGTTGTTTTGTGTGGTAGAGGGTCGCTGTCATTGATGCGTTTTGCACCCCGGGCCGCTGTTTTGATATTCCGCTGAAGTATACTATAGGCTGTGACGTAAACACGTTTTCTTTTCTTTTTTTCGAGGGAAGAGGGGGGTGGGGTCAGAGGGCCTAGGTAGAAAAGTCACGGCTCGCCACTGTAAATAAATGATACATTACTAAAAAATTAATTAGATCAAATATGTTGTAGTGCACTGTCACAACCTAGCAAAGCAAAATAATCGTTTTTTCCGATGTTGTTTTCGTAATTGTGGCAGGCCAAAATCGTAATTGCGATTAAAATATGATTAATTGCACAACCCTAACACACAAGCACACAGACACTTTTTGTCTAACACGCTAACACAGTTCTGTACTGTTATGCTGTTATGTTCAGTCACTGTTCTTATGTTGAACATGAATACATTTACTTTGTAAGTGATTATGGGACGTATTTCTTCTTTCATATACATTTTCCTTCATACTTTATTGCCGTGAAATAGTTCTTAAATTCTATTCAAAGTGGTCTTAAAAAGGTGTTATTTGAGTTGGCGAAACCTGCAGGAACCCTGTACAATAAAAAGTCCTGCATTCAAAATGTTACAAGTAAAAGTACAAAAGTATTAGCATCAAAATATAGTTAAAGTACCACCTGCAGAGGGATCTAGATGCAGGTGTTCTTTATAGAGACCGCCTCGCTGCACATTATCCCTTGCATAAAGATAGATTGTGGCTCCCTTACAACATGTTGTACACAGTGGAAATAAACATTCTGGTTACCTCAACATCAGGGATCTTATACATTAAACTCCTTCTGAGTCAAACCGTCACGGTAGCCTTACCTTACTGATCCCTCTTAAGGCGAGACACGGCAGGCAAAAACATCGTTTTTCAAGTACTGGTCAATTTTGAGATTTTGTGCTATTTTGATTCCATAACATGTTTTCTTTCAGGCTTTTGGAAGGAAAACGTACAAAATACACATTTAAGTGTTTATTTTACTATAGTTTGTCTATTTGCGTCTGTAGATTTCTCCTAAATTCACCAAAAGTTAGCATTCTAACGTAACATAAAGTACCGCGACCGCTGTGTGCACCATGTCAACAGAGGTATCGCTGGAAAGCTCCGCAGTGTGGCCAACTCCATAGTAAGGAAAGTAGCTATTGGCTGTCCGAAAAGTCGCCAGAAGTCGCTAAATGACGCCATCGCCTAATTTGCATATCATGTAATGGCGGCTGTAGGCAAAAAACGTTCCCAACCCTTCAAGGATCAAAACTTGTTAAATCCAGACGACAGTAGATCAGAAATGTATTTGCCTTTTGAGTATGTTTTGGGGTTTTAACGTGACAGTTTGGCATAGAAATCCCCCTTACAATAAAGGCAGTATGCCCGTGTGTCATCTCCAATAAATGGCTTCAACCATCCTTTATACTCAGGGTTTGATTCCCACTTTCTGTATTTTTGAGAATACAATTTAGACTGTGCCATGAATGATGTTTAGCTTGTCACAGAGAGGCACACACACAGTGGACGAGGTGATTGAGTGACTGAGGCTGTGTGAGGCAAAGCAAAGGCAGTTATTTATTATAGTGTGAAAGTGAGTGAAGAAACATTTACATTCAACATTTAAATCCCGCTCAAAACCAGGACGGCTTGGCAGTTGGCGCATGCGCAATTCATTTGCAGTCTCGACGCGGGTGAGTGTGGTTGTCTCCTCTCTGCTCTGACTGCAGCAGCAGCTCTGCTGCGGCCAGGCAACTGTCAGTCTGAGCGCCTGTGAGTACTATGGGAGGGAGGCGGGGCTCACGGCAGCACCCGCGGCTCGTTAACTGCAGAACAATGTGAGTCTCCAAACACCAGAAAAGTCGCTAATAACACCATTATAAATCGCTAGATACGTCGTTAGTCGCTTTTGACACAAATAAGTCGCCGGAGGGTTTGGAAATCCGCCAAATTTAACGAGAAAATCGCCAAGTTGGCAACACTGAAGCTCCGTCTCTCCTGCACAATCTCATCGGATCCAAATATGGTCATTTCCTTTGTATCAGCAACCAATCGTGAAAGCACAAAGGGGTCTTAAACCAAGAAATGAAATCTCATTGGCTGGTGTCAATTTCTGACAACGTGATTCGTTCAGATGCGTCACGTGGTGTGCTAAAACACTTCCTGGTTAGCTTTCAGCTAGAAATTGAAATCTCAAAATGCCAAAAGAACGGCGAAAAAAACGTTCACAGAGAAGACGCCAACAATTGTCACTTGCACGAAGCAAGGTTATAAAAAAAAAAATGACCCTGAACATGAAATACCTTCACGGAGTGCGTCGATGCGCAAGCTGTCATCCAAAGAACAGGAGGGTTTAGCTAGCACCTCACTGCAATCTTTAAAGGTCGTTTTCTCAAAATGAGTTTTTTCTCCTACTCTGAGTCCGAAATTTCCACTTCAGTTGCACGTACATACACCAAACCTTCCAGTTATATTCCCATCAATATTATGAAGGCTTTTACAGAAGGGTTTGTTCATATATAATTCATAGCCTGAATTATACAACATTGTATACCTAAAAACATGGCGAAAATTGATATTTTAGGGCTGTTGACAGTATTTTCTGATTTATGGAGTGATAAAAAGAGATATCCAATATCCCTTCTGTAAAAGCCTTAGATACTAATATGACTACAAAATGAAACAAGAATTTTGAATCTGGCTATATCCAAAGTTCAGATTTCGATTCCTGAAATGTGTTAAAATATGTGCATATTTTATGAGATAATGGTTCATTTGCATATTTAAACATGCTATTTCAGAAAACTTTTAATACAAAAGACAATTGCCTTATTGTAAGTAATTAACTGGAGAAATTTCTAGCTGATACCTTTAAGTTAAAAAAATTACCCTATTCACCTGGGGTGTCTCGCCTTAAATTAGAAAAACACACGTTACTTTACCAGCAGAGAGAAAATGGATTATTAAATGATTAATGTGACTAATAAAGAGCAGTTTGATTATTAAGTATTATTCTGTTGATCGATGTCATTACATTTGGTGAAAAACACATAATGACTTGTTTATGACTCGTTTTGTCAAAGTTTAGGACTTGAACTTGACTTGCCCATCCTGACTTGAGACTCGACTTGGACTTGAGCGCAAAGACTTGAGACTTGACTCGGACTTGAGCGCAAAGACTTGAGACTTGACTCGGACTTGCAAAACAATGACTTGGTCCCACCTCTGGTGTGTGGGGCACAACGCCAGCGTCCAGCCACAAGGGAGTGTGGTGTGTGTGTGTGGGGCACAATGCCAGCGTCCAGCCACAGGGGAGTGTGGTGTGTGTGTGTGTGTTATATTATAGGATGACTAAAATGTGAGAAGCTCATTTTTTAGGCTCAATACCCTGGGCCTCATGTTCCCTTCATCCAGGCCCATCAATACTTTCTGGATGAAGTCGAAAGTGTTTGCCAACTCTTTCGGGTAACTCAGAGGGAGGGCATAGATCAGTGCGAAAAGATGGATGAATGCCTCAGCCAGTGTGGGGAGTTCGATAACTTTGTCCCCCTCTATGACGACAGCGATCTTCTCTGGGCAGAAGAGCGTGGCATTTGTCGACCTGGCACTGATCAGGAGAAGTCCGACCGCGACGTCATCTACTTCAGGATCCTCAGACTGCTCTACCTGATGACAAGAACAGATACACGTTACCTATTACCTCAAATTGCCTTAGCTATCTCAGAAATATGTTTGCTGAAAAATACATCAGTGACATATCACATCAAATAACCTAATGTTTTGTGCATAACGTGGGTTTAAGGAAACGCCTATTCGCATTGCACCAGAAACGTCAGCCTCTAAAATAACCAATCAGTTGACATCAATTCTTTCTACAGAAAAAACATGTATAACCTTCATAAGGGTATTATTTATTGCATCACTGTATTAGACTGTGTTACTAGTAGCTAGTTGTACCTAATAAACTGGAAACTGAATATGTATAGTATAATCTCTCCCTACTACACATACAAAAATATATGGGGAACACTAGAGATTATTTTGTATTAAACACTGATGCTGCAGGAAAGAAAGCCCTCTCTTGATTGTGTGTGTGTATTAGGGCTGTCCCGAATAAAAAATGTCGGGCTCCGGATATTCGGTAGTAATCAGCAGCGAATATTCGGTGCGGAGAGATTTTATTTTATTTTATTTTTTTAAATAACATTTTTTTTCATAACACGCTCCGAGACACCTGACAACAAGCTGTTAAGCAGAAGCGCAGAAAGAGCATACTATTACGATTTATATTTATTTATTGTCTCAGTACTAGGGCTGGGCGATATGGCCAAAAAAAGAAATCCCCGATCTTTTCACAAAAAATCCGATTTACGATTTAAATCGAGTTTCTCCCCCCCCCCCAATTAATATGCAGATGACAAAGTAATT